CCCCAAAACCCCAAAACCCCAAAACCCCAAAACCCCAAAACCCCAAAACCCCTATTTTTATGCTGCTTATTGAATGGTTATGAGCAAGAGAAAATATTGAACTCCTCAATCGTGATTTTGGCTCCATGGCTCTCCTCTTGCTTTTGAATCCAGGCCTTTACAGTTAGATTATCGGTGTTTTGAGGACAGATTAGTTCTTGGTTGAGAAGAATTTGGTCTTTAGATACCTTTTCTTCACTTTCATCAGCTTCTGACTGAGAGATGAAGGTTGGCTTCATTGCAACCACATGCATGGCGATAGTGTTGGCAAGAGCAGAGAGATCCACCTTTGAATTAGTAGAGTTCATAAGGACTAAAGAACCGGTCTTACAGAGATCAGCTGCTTGGCTTCCATGAAGGTAATTCCCCCACTTTTGGTCTTCTCTGGCTGTCTTCCTGAAGATACTTCCAATATTGCAGTTTTCTCTAGTCTTGGCAATGAGATAAGTGAGGCCTTCACTTCCTGTCATTGATTGTGCATCTGGGTCTAGAGAGGACTGAAGGCTGTAGCTTAAAAACTTCTCTTTAGCTTCTTCGCTATCTTTCTCAGATAAAGATATTTCAAGACCTTCTACTTTAGCAAGAGTATCAAGGTAAGTCTTTACTCCATCTTTAAACATATCTGTTTTAGCGACGAAGTCGGTCTCGCAGTTGATTTCAATCATAAGAGCAGTCTGGTTATCATTGACCACCTTCATTCCAATCTGGCCTTGAGCGGTTGATCTTTCGGTCCTCCTACATAAGATGAGCTAAAAGATTTACTTATCAGCGTATGCAACTCCTTGTTCTCTAAGCCACTCTTTGGCTTTTTCAAAATCTCCTTTGAATTTCTCAAGTGCGTTCTTGCACTCGCCAATAGGCGAGCCAGTGGATGAACGAAGATTCTTGATATCTGCAATCGAAGCCATACTTTTGAACGGAGTTTGAAGCAGGTTGCTATGCAGCTTGGTTTTGAATAAAGTTCTTGTTAGCATTTTTAAGCGATTTGTGGCTTAGTTTATTATTTCAAGTTAGCAAAGATGACAAGGGGTTTTGGGGTTTTGGGGTTTTGGGGTTTTGGGGTTTTGGGGTTTTGGGGTTTTGGGG